TCCCGCTGTGCGCGTGGGGGGGGGGGGGGGGCGTTGCAAAATTTCTGCCCTATACACTTCAACACTCCTTTTAGGTCGTCTTTCACAAAAATAAACGAGGTTTGCAGAACCTTTTAGAGGCCTAAAAGGTTCTGCAAACCTCCTTTATTTTTTTTTCTGAGTAGATTACTCAAGGGGGAAAAAACTCATTCGGGCATTCCCTGGCATTCCCAGCCATTCCAATCCATTCCCAGCCATTCCGATCCATTTCGATCCATTCCCAGCCATTCCGATCCATTCACAGCCATTCTGATCCATTCCCAGCCATTCCGATCCATTCCCAGCCATTCCGATCCATTCCCAGCCATTTCAATCCATTCCCAGCCATTCCGATCCATTCCAATTCATTCCTATCCAATCCGAGCTATTAGAAATCATTCACGTCTACACCTAACTTTTGTAAATTACTGCTATGCATCTTAAAGTTAGCTTTTCTCGTGACCTTAGTTACTCGATAGAAGGGATGGGCATATAAAATAAAATGTGATTGTCTGTGGCTGAATGTTTGTGGCAGGTCAAAGCTCATAGTATTACAGAACATTATAAAGTTTGACAAAAGGTAATTCGGATCAAGAAATCCGAATCTAAAGTAGATTGTTCAATATTTTCAGATGAATTTTTCCGGTAAAGCAAAGAACTTTTTGAGAAAGTCATGATATTTGATAAAGGTAGACCAAAGTAAATCGGGGTCGGGGAATCCGAATCTGTAGTTAGATTTTCAAAATTTGAAACTAGATTTTTTAGGCTAAGAAAATATTTTTTTGAGAAAGTAACGACATTTCGCAAAGGTTGACGAAAGTAAATCGGGGTCGGGAAATCCGAATCTACAGTCAGATTTTCAAAATTTCGAACTCGCTTTGTTATGCCAAACAAACATTATTTTGAGAAAGTCACGATATTTCATAAAGGTTGACGAAAGGAAATCAAGGTCGGGGAACTCGAATCTGTAGTCAGATTTTCAAAATTTTGAACTAGATTTTTTCGACCTGGCAAATATTTTTTTGCGATAGTAACGGTATTTTATAAAGGTTGACGGAAGTAAATCAGGATCGGGGAATTCGAATCTACCGTCAGATTTTCACAATTGCATACTCGAGTTCTCGATGAACTTTGACTGGAAAACTTTTCCCGTAGACGCCAAGGGAGTGCCAAATTGTGCAAATCTGACTGCAGATTCGGATTTCTCGATTATGATTTCCTTTCGTCAACCTTTATAAAACATCATTGCTTACTCAAAAAAAAATTTCTTCGGCCTAAAAAACCGAGTCCGAAATTTTGAAAATCTGACTGCAGATTCGGATTCCCCGGTCCTGATATACTTCCGTGAACTTTTGTAAGACATCGTTATTTTCTTGAAAAAAGATGTCTTCATCGAGAACTGGTAAAAAACGGAAACCGTAGGTGGACGTATTGGCTTGGATCGGTGACAGTACACCGATGAATGATCGTCACCATTGCATCCCCAATTGACATAGTCACTAGAACTAAATGTAAGCTTGTGTGTTTATTATTTTGAGTTCGGTTTATTGGTAATTAGGGATGCAACGGTGACAATCAATCACCGGTTAACCGTCACCGTTTCACCGGTCCAAACCGGTAACCGTACCTACGGTTACCATATCTACTACGATAACCGTACCTACGGTTACCATATCTACTACGATAACCGTACCTACGGTTACCGGTCCCAGCCGGTTTTCACGAAGGAAACGACTTTTTAAGAAAATAATGATTTTTTGTAAAGGTTGACGAAAATAAATCTGGGTCGGAGAATCCGAATCTGAAATCAGTTTTTCGAAATTTTGAATTTTATTTTTTTGGACTAGGGAAAGGGTTTTTTAAGAAAATAACGATTTTCTATAAAGGTTGACGAAAGTAAATCGAGGTGGGAGAATCCGAATCTGACATCGGTTTTTCGAAATTTTGAGTTTCGATTTCCCAGAAAAAAAATCTCTTTATCAAAGTCTTGCTTATCCTAGAAACTTTTTCTAGGGAGAAATGATTTTTTTCCTAAAGAAAAAGTTTTATCTTCAAAAATGGAACTCAAAATTTCGAAAAACTGATTTCAGATTCGGATTCTCCGACCCCGATTTACTTTCGTCAACCTTTATAAAAAATCATTATTTTCTTAAAAAGTCGTTTCCTTCGTGAAAACCGGCTGGGACCGGTAACCGTAGGTTCGGTTATCGTAGTGGGACCGGTAACCGTATCTACGGTTACCGTAGCAAGTACGGTAACCGTACCTACGGTTATCATCACTGTTGCATCCCTATTGGTAATATCTTGATTAGGATGATCACAGAGAAACACAGAAGAACACAGGAAGAAAACTAGATAACGACTGTACTATCTGACCACGTAGCATAGAACGAACATGAATATATATACATAAGAATAGATTGGGAAAATTCCCTATACGAACTAAGATAACACAGTGGGAAAATTGCTACATATCACGTTGGGAAAAATCCTATATACGAAAATGTGGATATTTCCAACACTTGTGAATGTTCATAAATTCACCACCTGAACACTAAAAATTGACGATTCTAGCGATATTAAGATGTTAAAATTCGAATTTAAAGTTATGAGAAAATTACACATCTCTATCTATTTCATAGGCATTCCGATCGATTCCGAACAATTTCCAGCCATTCCTAGCCATTCCGATCCATTCCCTCCCATTCCGATCCATTCCCTCCCATTCCGATCCATTCCCATCCATTCGTAGCCATTCCGATCCATTCCCTCCCATTCCGATCCATTCCCATCCATTCGTAGCCATTCCGATCCATTCCCTCCCATTCCGATCCATTCCCTCCCATTCCGATCCATTCCCTCCCATTCCGATCCATTCCCTCCCATTCCGATTCATTTCCATCCATTCGTAGCCATTCCGATCCATTCCCTCCCATTCCGATCCATTCCCTCCCATTCGGAATGCCCGAATGAGATTTTTCCCCCTTGAGATTACTAATATCTGTTCCAGCAGTTAAGGCATTCGGTTATTTTTTGAATAACTTTTGATAGGAACAAGATAGAGATCTGCGGTTTTCAGCATTAGAAAGGAAATTAAATTCTTCATAAAATAGGTAAACATCTTCTTTTTATTTTGGCAAGTCAACACGATTGCTTTACTTTAATAGATAACAAGGAATCAGAAGAATAATGAACAAAATAAATAATAATAATTTTTTTTGTTTTTGTATTTTTTTATTATTTTTTTAACTATTTTTATTATATTGATAATCAAGTAAAAAAATATAATAAGAAAAGAAGAAGGAAAAAAAAGCAAAACACAAGGAAGAGAAATAGTAAGAAGAATATGAGTCTATGTAATATCGCCAATCGTCAGTTTTGCCAACGGTATATTCGCCAATGGCAAACTTCCTCAGGAATTTCGCCAATTGACAGAGTAATAATCTGACATTCGCCAATAAATGAAACAATTTTATATTACCGTGTTCGCCAAATTGGCGAACTACTAGTTGATATTCGCCAATTTTAATCATTGACTTTGCGACCTAACTGGTTTCTTAAACTACTTTTATTTTAAATAAAGAAAGAGCTGTACTAGTTACATAAAAGAATTGAATAATTTCGTTTTTTCATAGTTAATAGCGTTGACTAATCATTTTCATCTTCATCTTCGAGTAAATATTCATTTGCAGTTGCTTGATCATAAGTCTTTTCATTCGTACTTTGTCCGACAATTTTACCAACCATTAATGATGCAGATTTTAAATATTCTTTTAAACCAATAGATTTTGAAATAAATCTTCCAAATTTAATAAATGTTTTTTATTTTTGTCTGCCCTTCTTCTGGACTGCATAATTGAATAAACTAATGTACTTGATGTAATTCCACTTCCTCCAACTAAATGTGTAATTAGATGTGAAACTAGGGCTTCTTCGTCCTTCAAAAAATGCAAAAATTCCCAAATTGACGGATGTAATCCAAATCGCATTAACAATCGAAAATTATATCCTAAAGACATAAAAAATAAATAAATAGAAGACAGAAATACAATTAAAATGTTTACCTTCTAAAGAGTTATTTGTTTTCATGTCATTATTGCCATGGTGCCATAAATCAATAGATGGACGTTTAATATATTCTTTTTCGAAATACTTCAGGAATTTACGATATTTATAATCATTTGAAGGAATTGTATCTTTCAATAATTGTAAACCATCATCTATTAATCTTCTTAAAATCAATGGTAAAGCCATATATTGTTTGAACCATGTATTAACCAATGGATCTGTTTCATATGAAGTAGTAAGACCAAGTTTCTGAATTTTTCGCCATAAAGCTTGAACAAAATGGTACCAACAACATTTAACATGAACATTTGGAAACTAAACATAAAGAATAAAAGAAACTCTACGCGTCGTGAAATATTTGAATTATACTTACCGCTTCAAGACAAGAATTGATCATGGCACGTTCAAAATCCATTAAACATTCTGCCATTTTCCATTCCATTTGCATGTGCTTAGCAACCTTTTGCAATTTTTTCCAAATAGTATGATATACCGATTGAGTTTTAGACGAAGTTAAGCACCACACCAGAGGAATTGCTAAACAATATAGAAGTGTAAAAAACACAACTAGTTATTTATGAACATTAAAATAACAAACGCTGCTGTGATAGCTAGTACTTACTTTCATCATGATATCGGCCCATTAAAACATAAACTTGTTGAAATAGTAATGGCCGAGTTTTAAACGTACCATCACATAGAATAATGTCAGAATCAAATAACGCTGATAATAATTTTGGTGTACTAAATATCAATAACCGTCCATTCAATCGTTCTTTATTTCCATCGTAAATCACAAAATTTTCACCACGATTATTTGTGCTGGAAAAATGTGGAATATTAAAATCCTGTGTTTTTGGATGTGCAGGATAACGACGTGATCTTTTCTTATAAAAAGTACTAGCTAAAAGAAATAAAAATGAAAAACATACAGGTAGTCATAAGTAAACAAAACTGTTCAAGATATACCTGCTGTTCGAGGCAGACGTATATTTAATTGCTCCTCATCCGTCAAATTCGCCTCGGCATATACAAGTTCAATCACCTTCATAACTGCAGTTGGTTCAGCACCAAGTCTATCATCAATTTTTTGGTTCAAAAGTTTTTGTTTCATGCCAAATCTATCGGGTGGATGTTGATGATTAACATTATTAGTATCGATGAATGTACGTGTATCTAAACTTAAATGCACAACTGCACCACATTTTACATCTCGCCTTTGACATCTGAAATTCAATATATTTTTCTTTTCTGATTCAGACATGTATATATAGCTAAAATTGCCGATAATTAAACAATCTTTGTTTTTTCTCTCGTCTTTTTCCATTGCAAATTATTTGTTTCAATTGGCCATGAATCTGATGATTGTAATAATGTAGTTGTTAATGCAGCTGTGCCAAGATTTAGATCACCTCATTGCGAAATTTTTTCATCATTTTCTTCACGATTCAAAGCATCAATTAACGTTTGTTGTTGTGAATGAAGATTATTATCAAAGGTTTCCTCTTCAGAATCACTTGGATCATTTACTAAATATGATGCGTCAAGATGTTTATGATCATCATCATCACCATCAGGTGCATCATCAACTGCCTCTAATGAAAGTACTGTTGAAAGTTAAGTAATGGAGATGAAAGTAATTGTAATGATTGATCAATATATTGATTGTCCATTATGTTTTTCATGTGACCACGCGATGATGTTGATGTAGATGATACAGCCATTGGTTCAATAACAACAGGATCGATTGTCGATGATGTAAGAGAAGAGGTGCCCGTCGTTGTAGTATCTGTTATTATTTGTGCATTGTCTTCATTGTTATCATTATGCCTTTTTCTTTTACGTTTAACAGTTTGTTGTGTTGATGAAGATGTTTGTGTCGGTTCTTCTGATACTACTGTTGCTGAATTATCTTGAAGTTGACGATATTTTGATCGAGTTTGCACCACAATAACAATTTTAAATATTCATATTAGAATTTCAGATAATCAGCAAATAAATAAATGGAAATGGACACAAGATGAAAGGCTTCTCTGTCTCTCTCTCTCTCTGTGTGTGTGTGTGTGTGTGTGTGTGTGTGTATATAGTAGTGTCCTGCGGGAACGACTTTTTCTGATTCCCATTCCCTATTCCCATTCCCTAAAAAAAATTTTTTGTTCCCATTCCCTTTTTCCCATTCCCTAGAAGAATTGTTTTGTTCCCATTCCCACGTTCCCATTCCCTAAAAAAATTTTTTGTTCCCATTCCCACGTTCCCATTCCCATAATTCCCATAAGATTTTTCAAGGCTCTATTCATCTATACGAAAGTGTCATTGGCATATATGGGGATGACCAGTCTGTTCGGGTGACTCAATTTGCTTTCTTCCTATTATCAGTTAAAAACCTAATAATATTCGGGTCAAATTGTCAACCTCATCACTAAACTACTAAATTTAAAATATTAGTTGCTGATGGCTGTCTTATATGAAATTATTGAGTCCCTTAAAAACGGGAGGACACGATTTCTGCGGCTGAATAATTTCATATAAGACAGTCATCAACAGCTAATATTTTAGATTTAGTAGTTTGGTGATGAGGTTGATAATTTGGCCCGAATATTATTAGGTTTTTAACTGATAATAGGAAGAAAGC